CTATAGCAAAAACCTCTCCAGAGAGAGAGAGAGAGAGAGAGAGAGAGAGAGAGAGAAAGAAAGAAAGGAGGAGAGAAAAGAAAATGAACAAAAAAGAAAAGAGAAAAGAAAAAGAACGAAACTTGAGTTCAAATCCAAATGCTATCCTAAAACTACTAGGAGGACCCTGGGAAAATGACTTAATCTTCCTAGATCTCCATTTACCCCTCTGAAAATGGGATTAGTGAGACCTACATCCTAGATGGATTATGCAGAGTAAATGTCCAGCAAACACCTAGTTTCAGGGCTGGCCCTACAGCCTAGTGGTTAAGAGAGCTAGATCCCAAATGGCCGACTGCAGTTCAAATCCCTACCCAGTGGCTGGAGAAACATGCCAGGTGAATGTGCATGCAAACCCCAAGTCCTGAGGTAGAGAAATGGAATACAAGGGGTAACAGTATGATCACCCCACAATACACGCAGGAGTTACTCTCCTTCTCTATCTCTAGCTAATACACACGTGCCCTCTGGCACTTAAAAACAAGGACAAAAAACAATTTGCTTTTTAATTTTCATTTCTGCTACACAGCTGATTGGCCCCACTGCCCAGGCAAGAAAGGACACGGATTCCTCCTCCTCTCCACTCCTGTCTGTGTCCCTGCCTCTGCATTCAGTCATTTCACTCCCCAATGCCTCCACACACCCCACTGTCCCTATCCTGGCCTGTCCGTCACCTCTCACCTAAGCACCTTCTGGTGCCCCAACTTGTCTGCTGCCTCTCACTCCCCTCTAATCCACTTGGCAAATAAAGGGATTTTTCTAAATATGAAGTTTAATATTCCTCTGTGGTCCCCCATCCTCCTCAGGCTACAGTCCGAGTGTCACGAGCTCAGAAGGACCAGCAGCTGGAGCCCTCGGACCTCTAACTGGACCTCTGGCCGCGCTGAGCTGCCTCTACCTGCAGCCCGCCTCTGCCTCCCCTCCCAGTCTCCAGCCGGCCTCCCCCGTCTCTGGAAGGCATTTTCTGCCCTGCTTAGCTGTGAGCTCACCAAGGAAGCGGAAGCACTGAGCCCTTCACAAATGTCAGCTCGTTTCATTTTCTCCTTTAAGAACCTTTATCTTCAAAGTGGCTCTGTCAAATTCTGACATTCAGCTGTCAGAATTCCAGTCCCTTGACTTGGTACAACTCCCTCATAGCTCCAACGTCTTTGTCTCACAGGATGGGCGGTGAGACCGCAGTCTGCCTGCACTCCTCTCACTGAGTGAAATGTTCATCTGTGGTGGCTTTAGGAACTGGCCGTGGAAATTAAGGTCAGAATTCTCAAGCCATCTCCTTGGCACAGCCAGTGATACCACGACTTCCAAAAACAACTTCAGTGCGTATAGGAGGGAGAGCAGGGCTCACCTCGCCAGGCCCTTGCTGGGATTAAAAAGTCAGAATTCTGCAGCAGGTAAAAGCACAATCACGTGTGAGTCAAGGACCAGCCAGGTAGTGTGGTGGTCACGGTACTGGATCCCACACCGCTCACTTCACGGTTAGAGTCCCAGACCCAGCAGCTTAAATAAAACACTCGAGGTGTGTGTGTATGTGTGCCCAAAATCCCAAGAGGAGAGTAGAAAGGGAACTCCAATGTAGTCATAGCCCCACTGGGGGGGCGGGGGGGCTTCTCATTTTCCCTCTCTCTTTCTCTGGTGAGCGCACATACCCTATAGCAAAAGTAGCGTTCAAGGGGGCCAGGACCGCAGCACAGAGGTGAGACACAACACTGCACGGCAATTCCATGTGAGAAAACCCCTGGTTCGGATCCAGAGCCTCCCTGGGTATACAGGGCACACAAAGACCTGTGAGCCAGGACTGGTTAAAGGCTGGGAGTGTGTCACAGCACTGGGACCCTCTGGGGTACGGACTCTCTTTCTCTCACTCTCTCTGTCTCTCTCTCTTATTCGTGGAAGAAATAAATGAGTAAACTTGTTTTTCAGTTATTATTATTATTTTTAATTTGCTATGGGGCATGCACACTCACCAGAGAGAGAGAAAGTGAGAAAGCAAGCTGCCAGGTCTGGGACAAACCATGGTCAGCCCTGCAGGAGTCTAGCGCCTTAAACACACCACCTGCTGGCCCATAAATGAACTTTAGAAAAAAATATTCTCAAGCGGAAACCTTCGCATTCATCTTGACTCCTCCACCTTCCTCAGCCCTACGACAATCCCTCACCTCAGCCCGTCAACTGGATCTCCTCACACCCAGCACCTCCTCACCAACTCCATGGCTGTCCTTAGAGGAGCCCATAGCACTGCTCACCTTACCACAGGACGAGTCTCCTACGATGCTCTGGGCTTCCACGCCTGCCCTAAAATCCATGCTCATCCTCAGGCAAAATGAGTTCTGTGACTTCACTGAAATAAAGACTATCCACAGAATGAGAGAAAATAGATGTTAATCCTATAACTGATAAAGGATCTACATCTAGAATATTTAAAGAACTTTTAAAAATAAACAGTAAAAAGGTTATTTTTGACCAATAATCACATAAAAAGATGCTCACCACAATTAATCATCGGGGAAATGCAAACAATACCACAATGAGAAAAGATTTCACACCCACAAGGATGGCTATAAAAAAGACAAGTGTTAGTGAAGATGTAGAGAAACTGGATACATTGCTGGTGGAAAATAAAATACTGCAGCCACTGTGAAAAACAGTCTGGAAGTTCCTTGACAGGTTAAAAATAGAATTATCATATGACCCAGCAATTCTATTCCTAGGTATACACCACCCAAAAATGAAAATATATCTATACAAAAACTGTATCACTACTCATAACAGCCAAAAACAACCACACTGTCCATCAACTGATGGGTAAACAAAATGTTTGTCTTCATACAATGAAATTTTATTTGGCAATTAAAAGGAATATAATGCTAATTCATGCTACAACATAGGCGAACCTTAAAAATATACTAACTGAAAGCCATCAGACACAAAAAAACACACGATTCCATTTACATAAGCTGTCCAGAAGAGATGAATCTATACAGGCAGGAAGTACTGACAGATCAGTGGTTGCCTGGGTCCAGGAGAAGAAGGGGTCAGAGGTGATCTCGCTTAGGGTGATGAAATGCATTGCAAAAGCATACAGGGTTTCCTTTTAGAGTGATGAAGAAGTTCTAAAGCTGATTGTACTGATGGCTGCAGAGCTGTGAAAACACTAAAAACTACTCAATTGCACTCTTTAGATAGGTGAATTATATAGTATATTTATCACATCTCAGTAAAGCTTTACGGAGCCAGCCCACAGCCAGGCGTGTTCTGGAACTGGACACCACATGAACAAACATGCAGCTTGAGTCCCAGACCTACTGGCCTGAAAAACACACCAGGCATTCGTGTGTGTAGTCCCTAAAGCCCAGTGGGATGGAGGAATGGAGAAGGGATTGCTGTGTGACCACACCCTATTGGGTTGCTTTCTCTTCCTCCCTGTCTCTCTCTGGCAAGTCCACATGCTTACTTAAAAAATAATAATAATAAGGGAACCAGCAGTTAGCGTAATGGCTATGTCGCTGGACTCCCACGTGGTCAACCGCGGTTCGTGTCCCGGACCCAGTGGCTTAAAACTCACACCGGGCGCGTGTGTGTGCGTGCCCAAGATCCCGAGAGAAGAATGGAGGAGAAGGGATTGCGGCATGACCATCCCCCCTGGGGGTGATTTCTTGCTTTCTGTCTCTATGTCTCTCTCTGTCTGGCAAGCGCACGCGCCCTATAGCGAAAACCTCTCTAAAAAAAAAAAAGTAAAAATAATAATAATAATAAAATGTTAACCTCAGGACTTACTGCAAATAAACATTCTCAATCCAATCTTTAAAATCAATAATGCAGGTCCATCAAGTAGTATGTTAGTTAAGACACTGGATCGCACATGGCTGTCTTTGTGGTTCAAATTCTGGACTCAGTGTCTTGAAAAAAACACACTGCACACACGCACGTGAGTCCAAAATCCTGAAACGAGAATTGAGAATGGATTGTAGTATGGCCAACCCCCCTGGGGGCGATTTTTCATTTTCCCTCTCTTTCCCCCCAGCGAGTACAAGCACCCTATAACAAAAAACTACTAATTAAAATTAATTCATTAATTAATGCTTCCTTGGTCATGAATATTTCAGTTAAAAATATAACACACAGGGACCAGCAGTTAGCATAATGGCTACGTTGCTAGACTCCCATGTGGTCGACCGCGGTTCAAGTCCTGGACCCGGTGACTTAAACTCACATAGGGCATGTGTGCGTGCGTGCACAAGATCCCGAGAGGAGAATGGAGGAGAAGGGATTGCAGCGTGGCCATCTCCCCAGGGGGTGATTTCTCCCTTTCTGTCTCTCTGTCTCTCTCTGTCTTTCTGGAGAGCGCATGTACCCTATAGCAAAAATCTCTCCAAAAAAAAAATATATATAACACACCATTCAAGTCATGATGCTTCTCTCCCCGACTCGTCCATCTCTTCGCTACTGAACGACAGCACCCTGATGGACAGCTTTCCAAAGCCAGAGCAAGACTCGCATCAAGGCTAACCCCCACTCGGCAGCACAATGACATGTGCAGACAATACTGCCTGAAGGACTCTCCACAGCCTTGAGGAAGCAATTAGTTTCCCGACTGCACAATCCATTCTCAAATTCTGGCTACAATGTTTATTCATGTTAAATTATCAGTATTATGACAGTACATAAAGGGATCAAGACAGTCATTTATCCTCCAGGTGAGCTGGCTGGCCAGTGCTCACAGGCTAAAGCCTGACCAAACATAGAAACTGGACATTTTGGACCAGCGGGCGGCATGGAGGTTAAGGCGCTAGACTGCCACATGGCCGACGGCAATCAGCATGCCGGACCTGGTGGCTTGAAAAACACATAGGGAGCAGGTATGTGCATGCCCAAAATCCTGAGAGGAGACTGGAGGAGGGGACTGCGGTGTGGCCATCTCCCCAAGGGGTGATTTCTCACATTCCCTCTCTGGAGAGTGCGCACACCCTATAGAAAAGAAAAGAAAGAAAGAAATTGGACGTTCTGACAAAGTGGTCTGTCTCTAACTTCATCTCAGGCCACTGTCCCAAAGTGAGGCTGCCAGCACGCTCCTCAATACACCATCGCCTGCGTGCCTTTGCAGAGCCACACCCTGGCCCACCCTTCCCCTCTCCCTGGTACAGACCCGGTGAGCACTAGCTTCTCCCAGGAAGCCCTCGCAGACTCCCTCATACACAAGGATGGCCCTTCACTGCTTTTGCAGAATTCTATGGAGGCAGTGACCAAGCAGCACCGTCATTTCTGTCTCCCTGCCGGCCTATGTCATGCCACTCCACACACTCTGCGGTACTTCGAAAGACCAACAGAGAGTACAGTGCAATCAACGCTCCATACATATTTTCTGAATTAATCTGTGTCAAGACAATGTGCTATGGGCCAGATGGTGGCCAGTAGTAACACAACCGGATCCACACAGGAAGGTTGTAGGTTCACATCCCAGGGCCTCCTTGCACATGTCTACCTGTATACACCACGCATACTTGGCCATAATCTGGTTGGCTGAGGCTGCAAGTGGGAAATCACAGTATGAGGACTCTGTCGTGGGTATTTCTCTCTATCTCTCTTTGATGAAAAACAAAAAAAAGAAAAAAAAAAAAAAAACCACTATACCAGCTTTCCTGAAATATGGCAGTAGCAAAAATTCACTGGAATTCTTTAATGTCCAGGTCCAAAGAATACATTCATTTTAAACTGAGCACGCACTCTGAACAATAGCTCACTTCTACCTGAGCAATTCATTCATCAACCACTCCCCTAGAGTCTCCCGAGCTCTGTGTCACTACGCCTACATGGAAATCTCTCCACACAGGCCACCTTGTTGGCCTGGTGATTAAAGCAGCCAACCCCACACGGTCAACCCCTGTTTAGCTCCCAGGCTCGACAGCCTGAGACCCATGCCAGGTGCGCGTCACCCTGCCGAAATCCCCTAGGAGGGGGATGGAGAATGGATCGCAGCATGACCATGCCGTGAGTGGTGCTTTTTTCTGTCTCTCTCTGGAGAACACACATACCCTCTAGCTAAAATCAACAACAACAACAAAACCCCCCATACTTGATGCCAAATAATTATGTAACTACTACTGATCTCATCTTTTCAAATTCAGTCAACGACTCTGCTTGATGCCCGTTTCTTTCTTTTTTCCCAGTAATTTCCAATAGCCATTTTATTCCAAATACATAGAGGCTAATATGACAAGAGCTCTTCAACTTGAAATGTAACTTATCTAGGAAAAAAAAAAACAAAAAGAAAATCAGGTAGGAGCCAGCAGGTGGCATGGTGGTTAAGGTGCTGAACTTCCACACGGCCGACCATGGTTCAACCTAGCAGCTTGGAAATCACACCAGGCCCGTATTAAAGCATGCCCAAAATCCTGAGAGAAGAATGGAGAAGAAACTGGTGTGGCCATTCCCCTGGGGAGTGAGTTCTCACTTTCCTTCTCTCTGTCTCTCTATTTCTTGTGAGCACACATGTCCTATGGCAGAAACAAAGAGCCAGGCTTCTATTGAAAAAGATGTGACCACAAAATATAAACCCAATAAAAGCGTCTTACTAGTCACTTTGCCACAGAGTTATCCTCATTCCATCTTGCCCACTGCTGTTTCCAAGCCCATCTTGAAGAAGGTGGAGCATCCCTACAGGTGCACCTTGTCCTCGGGTTTCAAAGCACAGCACCAGACCATCGGCTTCCTGCCTGGTTCCCCACAGCATTCCAGACCCTGGCACTGTGGTTGGCACATGAGGGACCCCAAATAACTATCTGCTGAATGAACAAACATGGAATGTAACTCAGGTTACTGAAAAAGGCAAGGTCAGAGGCTCAAGGAGCACTGCAGCTGAGTACAGGAAAGTATACCAAAGTCTCATAGCTTAAAAACCAAGAAGCACGGATGACAAGGGGCTACAGTGATTTCGATCTCGGATGCTGTCTAACTCTGGGATCTGGGCTTGGGGTTTTCCAAAGTACAGGAGAGTACAGGAGAGTATACCATAGCTCATAGCTTAAAAACCAAGAAGCACGGATGACAAGGGGCTACAGTGATTTTGATCTCGGATGCTGTCTAACTCTGGGATCTGGGCTTGGGGTTTTCCAAGAACTCTCTTCCTAAAAATTTACAAGAGCTTTGAGAAAGCAGGCATTCTGCCCAAGCACCACGGATCCCTCCAGCAGATGAGAAAACGGTGCACCTAGGCTGGTACCCCGCATTGTACCATCAAATGGAACAGAAGGACAAAACAGAAATTCCCCAATCTCAAGAAAGGGGAAGAACGAAGAGCAGGGAAGAGAAATAAAAGTACGAGGAGACTCCAAAAAGTTTGTGGAAAAATGGAACTAAAGTATGGGTTCATTTTGGTGCAGAAAAATCTTGATATGCGGGACCAGCAGTTAGCGTAATGGCTATGTCACTAAACTCCCATGTAGTAGACCGTGGTTCGCATCCTGGACCCAGTGGCTTAAAACTCACGCCGGGTGCGTGTGCGTGCGTGCCCAAGATCCTGAGAGGAGAATGGAGGAGAAGGGATTGCGGCGTGGTCATCTCCCCTCGGGGGTGATTTCTTGCTTTCTATCTTTCTGGTGAACGCACGCGCCCTATAGCAAAAACCTCTAAAAAAAAAATCTTGAAATGCATGCATAGTATTTTCCATAATCTTGTTTTCTATGAACTTGCAAGCCTCCTAGGGAAACTAAGTCATGAACAGTCACCAGACATACATGTGAGGGGAGACTAGAGAGGTAAGAAGACAGGCCGGCCTGGACGTAGGTGACGGCAGTAGGGACCAGCCCTTGTTCAAAGGCACCGAGCCAGGCACTCTGCTTACCTTTACAGGCCCTGACCCACTTACTCCTCCCACCAAGCCAGGGTAGAAACCAGTTCTCCATTTCACTGATGAGGAGCTGGAGCTTAACGAAGTGACCCCCGCCTCAAGCACAAGGTGGGAAGGGGCGGCTCTTGGCCAGAGCCCAGGTACCACGCTACCCTTCCTGCCTCCCAGGCCTTCTAACCGGGCTGAGAGGAGCCCTCCGGGCACCAGCCAGCGCTCCCGGACCACCTGCAGGGCAAGGGTCTGGACCGCAGCCGGCGCTGGAGGGCGGAGGCTCCGCGCGGAACGCAACGTCACCCCCGCTAGGGGCCCGCAGAGGGTGCGCGGCCAGGCCGAGCGGAGCAGCGAAGGGAGCGGGCGGAGGGCCGGAGGCAGCCGTCGGA